GGAATGCGGCTCACCCGCCCTCCGGGACACATTCGCCCACCGGAGCACCATATCGTACGCCCGGGTATACTCGTCCCCCGTTATTTCGGGCCCCACAACAGGGGCGCGGGCGCGACAGTAGGGACACAACAAATCGTCTAAATGCGAATAAGCATTGCACCTAATACAATTAAAACGAAAATACATATTAATATGTCGTGCCGCACGTAACAAAAGTTGTCCTAAGACTGAAGAAACGACAGAAGATATAAAAAACGAATGCTCCGCTTTCTTGATAAAAAATTGCATACAAAAGTATAAAATAGTAAGGGGAATTATATATATATTACAGGATGATCATATTCAATGCCAACGCAGCGACATTGAGACGGTCAAGCCAAGAGCCATACGAACTCGAGGAATTCACCAACGAACCAGGGATACATTTTGAAAAAATAGGCCATCTACATTGTTCTAAAAGCACGTGGAAACTAGTAATAAAACTAGACCTAGCAACATTAACTGCGAAACAGGGTTACATACGAAATTATATAGAGCGTACAGAAAAAGCGTGCAATGTGTTAACGCAACAAAACACATGCCTTAATTTAGTTAGTATTACAAAACAAACACTAAACTATTTGGAAAAGACGACAATACAAATAAATACACTCTACGACAGACATACAGACAAACGTAGGGGAATAATTGACGGGATAGGAACAGTAGCAAAGACATTGTTCGGTACCATGGACGCCGATGACGAAAAACGCATAAATGAACAACTAGAATTAATAAATAGCCGACAGAGCACGTTACAACACACAGTTAGACATCAACTAACAATAATCAACGATACAGTAACACATATAAATAAGTTAGAGAATACAATAAAACAGAGTGAAAAACTCTTACAGGAAAATGTAGCGCAATATATTACGTTAGAAAAGATACAGGGACAATATGAAATAATTATGGCAGCATTAACAGACGCCATTAGGGATGCGGAAAATATTATAGAATACTTAGCGCAAATCGAGGAAGGAAACATACATCCGAAATTAGTACCATTTGATAACATTGTCGCGCATTTAAAGGAAGCCGCAACACAGTTAGAACAGGGATATTATTTTCCGTTTAGAACACACGCAGTAAACTGGCATAAAATAAAGAAACATGCAAGCGTAAGTGCATACGTAAGCAAAGAATATAATTTATATACAATACTGCGGTTCCCGATAATATCACAGCCTAAATATAACATAATAAAGGCAATTGAATTCCCGTGGCAGCATACAATAAAACATTTAAAGGTATACAAGTAGAAAACAATATGTTTGCCATATATAACCTTAGATTAACATATTTAATTATAACAAATGAGGATTTACAAAAATGTAGTAAAATAAACTCTAATTATATATGCGAACATAGCATGCCGACTTATCGCGTAAACATGAATATACCGTGCGAATTACAAATGTATACGCAACGAATGCAAGATAAGCATGAATGTAAGGTACGCTATCGGGTAACGAAAACGACAGTATGAATCCCGTTACATCAAACACACACATGGTTGTACTCAACAGCTAAGGAAGAAAAAATAAATATAAAATGTGACGGATACACAGAAAAAAATTTAGTAATAAAAATACCGGCCGATTAACCTCACGAGGAAACTGTCAAATTAAAACGGAGGATATGACATTGGAGACAAAAGAGACGACTTACGTAACGAACATAGATACATATTTACCGAATTTTAATATTGCACCGTCACAAGACGAGGACATGAGAATACTCGTCACATTAAATAATCTAACACAACACAACGCAGAATTAATAGAATTACGAACGAAGATAAACAACATAGACAATGATTTACAAGATAATGAACAAAAGTTTTATACAAGAAAACAATTTATTTATCCCATGACCTCGAGCGGATTAGTAATAATCATAATTATAATATTTGTCATTGTCATTGTAATTTGGAAAGTAAAAAATAGAAAAGACATTAAAAGAAGACCAAGAGTGACGATACTCGACGATGACTGGGATGTACCTAGATCTATATTAAAAAGAAGTAATAGTACGCGTTTTTAGGAAATAGGAAACGATTATAATTATATTGTGAACGGGATAAACATTTGTAAGCTTTAGTTGTAAGCGAAAAACTTCATACCTTCGTTTTTCTTCTTTAACGGGGGAAGGATGTTATATCCCCCAAAGATATACAATAGATATAACTATTAAAAGGTAACTAATATTAAGAAATGAGTACTAGTATTACATCCGCAATTACGACAGACACTGACCGCGTTAAAAAACGCATACGATGCGAGGTATACGCGGAATCAGAATTACGACAGATAATGACCGCGTTAAAAACGCATACAATGCGAGATATACGCGGAACAGAAATTGGTCAACGTGCAAGCAAAGCAGAAGGACTTTGAATCTGCTTCGCTTGCACCTAGATTCTCGACCGGGGAAACCTGTTGCCAGGCACCCCTTCCGATCGGGAAAACTCCAAAAAACAACGATATAAAAAGAGAGTAGAGACGCGACAACTCGCTCAGTCGCAGACACAAATAATCGCTCTAACCACGATCTCGCTAACCGCGCGCGCACTTAGCATCGACTCGCAGTTGTGCGCGATACGCGGAGTAATAGAAAGTCAGTGCCGCACACACGGTAAAGCTTCAGTGTATTATTAGTGAAATAAAATAAAGACCAAGTGGTCGAAGTTGAATACAGAATTTTAATACAAAAAGTGTAGTGCATTTTCTACAAACACCCGACAAGTCCTGACGCCCCGGATTCCCATCCCAATTTGGCGCGACCCTTAAGTGTCTCTCCCGAGGCACACAACATACCTATGAATTCATTTTTGGGAATCTTTGTGTGTGACTCTATAAAATGCCATCTATTATTGATACCGTTTAATGCAAGATCTACGGAAACATTAGTAAATGATGAAACAACGTCCAATGAAACTATTATGTCGGAATCTTGTAGTGTTTTCCCTGATAGAATTCCCTGAAAAGATTTCATCAACAAAAAAGAATATTATTATTTATTTTCAAGCGACTCCCTTCTTCCTAAAGCCTATGGGCTCCCCAAGATCCACAAGGAAAATATTCCTTTTAGATTAATAGTTTCCTCAATAAATACTTCTCTATATAATATTGCTTCCTTCTTTCATAAAATTTTAAAAGATAGCCTTCCTAGAGCTGACAGTTTTGTGAATAACAGTTTCGATATATGCAACATTCTATCAGGGAAAACACTACAAGATTCCGACATAATAGTTTCATTGGACGTTGTTTCATCATTTACTAATGTTTCCGTAGATCTTGCATTAAACGGTATCAATAATAGATGGCATTTTATAGAGTCACACACAAAGATTCCCAAAAATAAATTCATAGGTATGATAAAATTTATATTAACTTCTACATTTTTCACTTTCAATAACATAACTTACAAACAAATTTATGGGACTCCTATGGGTTCCCCACTTTCTCCGATCATTGCCGATATAGTCATGCAGGACTTGGAAACATTGGTAATTAGTAATTTAAATTGCGAAATGACTTTTTATTTCCGTTATGTAGACGACATTATTTTATGCACTTCCGCTGACAATATTACATATGTTTTGAACGAATTCAACAATTATAACGATAGACTACAATTTACATTGGAAAAAGAGGATAATCGGTGTATAAGCTTTTTAGACATAATGATCAAAGTAATAGATAATAAAATTTATTTAGATTGGTATCACAAAAAGACATTCTCAGGTAGATTACTTTCATTTTTTTCAAATCATCCGACTTGTCATAAAATAGGAACAATTTATAACTTGGTAGATAGAGCTTTATTACTATCACATCCGCAATTTCACAAAAAAAATATAGAGAAAGCTATTAACATTTTGCTATCCAACGGTTATCCTCTTAATCTAATTTTCACAGAAATAAAACGCAGATTAAAAAATCTCTCAACTAAGAAATTTAACAAGCCTAATAATAACAATATAACAGATACTAATAATACTAATACTAACATTAAATATTTTGTCATACCATATATAGAATCAATATCTGAGAAAGTTGCTTCAGCAATAAGAAGACCTGACGTAGTGGTAGGATATCGTTGCATTAAAAATTGAATGACTTCATAAAAGTTCAAAAGGACAGAAATAATTGCCCCACGAATTCTAATGTTATTTATAAATTGAATTGCAACGATTGTGACGCCACATATGTCGGACAGACAAAAAGACAGTTAGGAACGAGACTTAAAGAACATAAAAATAATATTAAATTAGACTCTGCTAAACATTCGGTTGTCACGGAACACATTCTAAACGAACAACATACATTTGACTGGGACAATATTAAAATTATGGATCATGAAAAGAATTACCATAAAAGGCTAATATCTGAAATGATCCACATTAAAGAACAGAAAAATGGAATTAATTTAAATAAAGACACCGAATTGTTAGACAGTAGTTATTTTGACATACTTAAAAAATTTGCTGAATCATAGTTTAGAAAAAACATTGGTAATAAATAAATACATCACGCTCTCTATTTTGACATTTGTTATTCAGACTTCGCAACACACACTTGAAATATCAGGAAAAAGGACTTGTTAAAACGATAATGTAAGTTGAAAGATTTTTTAATTTTCTCTGACATTGATTTAATTCGCGTATTATATCCGCAGCATGTTTAAATGTCGCATAACTTGGCATCTCAGACCAATCGCCTTGCACATCTATTGGTCAACAGCGAAGAATCGTTTTAATTTTATATTTTAATATTTAACTAACTTTGTATTTTTAACATTTAACTTTGTATTTTAATATTTAACTTTTATGTATTGATAAAGACTGTAGTGCAGTCGAAACGTTTACAATTTATATCGTTTCTGTAACGAAATGTTAATTTAATTATTTAACTATTAATAAATTTTTACATCTTATTTATTTGCTCGTTCAGTTGGTCTACTATATTTGATTTGTTTAATTTTATTAGAGGAAGCTTAAAAATCTCTTCAAATTACGTTTCACATCTGAAAGTGAGTTTCTTTAATTTTCAATTTTTTAAAAATACTTTTTAAATAAATATATACATACATATGTAGAATAAAATGTGAAGAGAGAGAGAGAGAGAGGGAAAGAGATTTATTTCATATAATTATTTTTATGTTTTTATAGAGAAAACATCCTGATTTATTTCCCGAATATGAAGCTCACAAAAAAGCCAAACGGGAATGCATGGAAAAATTTAATACCATTCGCAGAACAACTTGCGCTTTCTCGCAAGAAGTGTTCGAGAATAATATTGTTCATTTTATATTAGAGAGTATATCACCATTTAACATTGTTGAGCTTCCAGCGTTCCGACAAATGTTTGACAGTGAGTAAATTTTTCTTATAAATTCTTTTTTCAATCATTAATGTATTTGCAACCTCTAAAAATACAATTTATATTATATAGGCTTCAGAATAAAGCATGGAGACGAACCTCTGCGCCATATAACTCGCAAAATTGTAAAAAAAAATTAATATGATTCACAATGAACATATGGAAATCATAAAAAACGAACTAAAAAATGTTAAATATGTTTGCACTACAGCGGATGTGTGGACTGCACCCGATCGTAGAATTCTCGGTGTTACAGCTCATTGGGTAAATATCCCTGAACTTCAAAATTATCAAGATTAAAACTCACTATGTCTAATATTATACTAATTGTTTTTTATAGCTTTGTGAGAAAACCTTGAAGAGAAAATCTGCTGCTCTAGCTTGTAAAGAATAGAAGGAACTCATTCAGCTGAAATCGTGGCTACTGAATTAGATAAAATAAACGAATTATTTGAATTAAATTATAAAAAAATAGTTGCGACAGTTACTGACAATGGATCAAATTTTGTCAAAGCTTTTAAAATGTTTGGTATAAGCAGCTGCACTATTTTGAAAGATGGTCCATCAAACGTGGCAAATATAGATGAATTGGAAAAAACACAAATGAATGACCCTGAAGAAACTGAAATGAGTGACGATGAAATTAATGAGATAGATGAGGATTATGGTGACACTAATTATGATATTAATGATAATTATAATGATAATGATAATAATGCTAATAATGATGATAATGGTGATAATGATGATAATAATGACAATGGTGATAATTCTATAGATAACGAGGAAATAAGTGATGAAATCAATATCATTTTGCCTTGACATCTGAGATGTGCAAGTCACACATTACATCTTATAGCTTCAAGTGATGCGATAAAAATAATAAAAGAGGATTCTAGATTAAAACGCTTGCACGAAGAGACGATCCAAGAATGCGAAAAGCTTTGGAAGAAATTGAGATCATCTAAGAAGCGTGAAGCTCTAAAAAGTATTTGAATTGTGCATTAAAACGTCCTGTTGCAACTAGATGGAATTCTTTATATGATTGTCTCAAGCAAATAATATCATTAGAAAAAAAATTGACTGATGTTAATGTACAACGATGTATCGATTTTGAAATCAATATCAGGGAACATCATTTTCGATACATCAAAGATTATTTAATATGTATGAAACCTTTAGCTATTGGAATTGATAAAATTCAAGCCGAGACTACATGTTATTATGGTTGCTTAGTGCCACTTTTATTAAGCATAAATAATAAATGGACAACAATGCTTAGAAGCAACGAACTTACATATTGTAAAAAGTTGGCAGAAGGAATGCAGTTACATTTATTAGATAGATTTAAAGATTTTTTTGAAATTCATGGACAAGGAGAAGCTGCTGCTCTTGTTGCGATAACACATCCACAATTTAAAGATAGATGGTTAGTTTGCCTAAATGACGATAAAAACAGAAAAGTGCAATTGATCAACATAGCATTTAATAATAATGAAAATTTTGAAGTTCCAGAAGAAAACATGGACTCAAAATTAGATGATTTTTATGATTTTGGCAAAGACGTTACGCAGTCTAATAGAAAATCGCAAATTTTTACATGCCAAGGGGAGAATTCGCTAGAAATATTACAATTTCTAAACAACCCAATTAAGACCTTGGATGTATTAGATCGATATCCACAAGTTAAACAATTATTTATTAAATATAATACTTGCTTACCTTCGTCAGCGCCAGTAGAGAGACTTTTTTCGTACGCTACTATGATTAATGTAGCTAAATATAATAGATTAACAGACGATTCCTTCGAAAAAAAAGTTATAGCCGCTGCAAATGGGAGAACAAAGCGTAAATAATATAATTACATATGAGAGAGAGAAAGAGAGAGAGAGAGAGAGAGAGAGAGAGAGAGAGAGAGACATATAAGAGTAAATTTAATTATATTTAATGTTAATATATATTGCATGTTTCTCGAATTTTTTTTTATTTGTTCTAAAATAATAAATGTATAATGAATTAAAAATGTTCTGAATAAAAATATGGTTTAAAAAACGTAAATTATTTATTATTGGTATTGTAACTATTACGTACAATAACTTTGCTAGAACCAAGAAAAAGATATATATTATTTAAATTCAGTCATATTAATATCATCTATCAAACATCTTCGATTAAAATTAAAATTTTATTAATTGTTACACATTGTTAATTAATGAAAATAGAGAAATTATATCGATTTTCTTAAGTCAATTATTAATGGAAGAGATTCGCATTAAATTTGCTATATTTAATCGTCAATTATATATTTTTTAATTGTTTCTGCTCAAATCAATTGTCAATTGAATTGTCTTCAATTGAATCTGTTTTTTTCATTCGTCCATTAAAGTAATTCTAATTAAAATTAACTCATTAATCGTTTAATTGAAAAATTTTTAATTAAATTAGCTTGTATTAATCGTTTAATCGATCGCTCTCCGATTAATTTCGTTTATATCAATTGTCAATTAAATAATCTTCAATTGACTTCGATCATATTAATTGTTAATTAAGCGATCTTCGATTAATCTAGCTTATATCAATCGTCATTGTAACGATCTCTAATTAATCTTTCTAAAATTAATCTTCAATTAAAAATATTTTAATTACATTCGATTACATCTGTTTGTAATTAAATGCCATAATTAATTTAAAAAGCAATTAATTAATGACCATCTCTGATTGGAATGCTCATTGCATTATGTAAAGTTGGGTGCGACCAAAAATAGCTAATAAGTATCATCTTGCCTTCTAATTTTGATACGTCATACATATATAATTTAGTAATTTAAGTGGTCTGTTCACTTTTTTTGTATTAATTTTATTATTTTCTCAGTTTTATAGTCTTAAAAAGTATTCGTTTTTCAATAGTGTATTTAAACTTTTGATCAGTAGTGTACAAGTGTTTCCAAATGTTCTAAAACGGCTGAATATCTTCAAAAATATGTATTTTTATGTTCTGAGAAAAATATTTGAAACAAAAGTTGACAGGTTAAGAATTTATTTAGTGATGTTTAGCAGTTTCATTTGGATTGCGTCACAAAAACCAGGTCAAAGTCACATTTTTTAAAATAGTACATTCTTTGTGATTTCAGAATCTCATAGCTATTATCAAGAATTTTTCAAAATACTATAACAAGTTATTTTCGTTAAGTATTTTCCGATTTACACTTCTTGTATAAATTTGACCCGGTAATTTCCGCATAACACGTCTTAGATAATGCTTGATATTTAACTGTCTCGAAATCTAGGATATCTTGTATCTGTATCATCATTATGTTAATATTAATAAGCTTCAAATATTACAAGATTTTTTAATGTTAAATTAATTTTTATATTCCCGACTTTGACTTACCTCAATTTTTCTCGCCTATATCTTTAAAGGGGTACTGGGGGGTTTTTTAATTGTCATTCTCAGCAGATAAGTAAATAAAACAAACAAAGAAATCATAGAAAGTTCTAGATTATATAAAGTGATTTAAAAAATTTGAATATTTGTTTATTAGAAATGATTGTTGTAGTAAATGATAAGTTTGTATGTAAAATGCATCTGAAAATCAACATAAATATACATGTATTAGTATAAATGTACACTGGCTGTGTCCCATTTTAAATAGTATATTTATCATATAACTTTGAAAGAAGAGGAACAATGAAAAAATGTTTTCTACAAAATTTGTGTGGCTCAGAGAGGGACATGATATAATGTAAGAAAAGTTTTTGTAGATAAAGGCGTAGAGGAAATATAAAGGTCAATTGTCAGTGTTTTTTTAAATAGAATCACCTAATACATCTATATTAATTATTATTATTAGTAAATTATTATTATTATTATTATTATTATTTATTATTAGTAAAAATGTGAAAAATGAATAACATTGATTGGTGTATATGCTAAACCTAAAAAGTAATAAAACCAATCAGTATGACTTCCTTCACATTTTGAGTCTTTTAGAACTACACAATCAATGCTCCAAATTGAGCTTCGACCAGTAGGTGTTTTGTCCTGTTTCTTATTTCTATTGTTTTGTTGATTTAGATACAGAATATCGTTAATTAATTATAATATACACATTGTAATATACATGTTGTAATATACACATTGTGTTAGTTTAACATGATACAGATTTGTTTTCTTTTTTATTTAAAAAAATTTTGCATTTTTGTTTAAACCGAGAAATATAAAAGTAGAATTTGCTTTGCGGTCGAATTTTTTTATCTGTTTAAGAGAGCTTGTATCCCACATCAAATATATAAGTGTTTCTGTGTATATTACAATTAATAAACGTTTATCTATTTTGCGTGAAAAAGCGTGGATATACCGTATGTTTTTTGTAACTCGATCATTTAAAGTAATGAACATTAATTGCTACATTATTTTTATTTGTCTAGTATAGATTTATTTTCTAAGATATTTTTAATTGCAACTTACGCAAGCAGTACATTTTAATTCCTAAACGTTTAAAGAGATTTAGGACATATTTTTAAGATATCTAAAAGATATATTTAAGACATCTCAATCATAACGTGAAAATGTCTTAAACGGTATCTGCATAATATCTTTAAAATATCTTGAAGATGTCTTAATATTACTTTCCGGATATCTTAAAGAAGTCTTGTGGACATCTTAAAATGATATATAATATGTCTTTAGATTTCTACTAGATATCTTTAAGACATCTTTAGATATCTGGAAAGATATCTCAAAATGTTGCGTAAGACATCTTTTAGATCCCTAAAAGATTACTTTCTAGATTTTTGGAAGATGTCGCAAGATATAGCGAGATATCTTTTAGAAATATAAAAGATATCTTTTTGTCTATCTGGGTGGGTATATAATTTTTGTTAGATTAGGTTGTTAGGTTTTGTTAGATTATATTTTGCGGTTTTTTGATATATTAGTCAATTCTTTTCGAGTTTTTATATGGATCAAATAAAGTATTCTTATAAAAGGTAAAATGAACGGCATGTATATTTAATACATTTTATATAATTTTGGATAAATACTTTCGGGTTTAACCTTTAGAGGACGGGCGTATTTTTTTGTAACCTTTGTAATTTGAAGTAAGAATTTTTATATTTTTATTATAGTGTTGTACCATGAAAAATAAGCGACCCTTATAGACCCAAAATATTGGCTTCCCGTCCTCTAAAGATTAATATATACATGAAAAGGTTATTAATTATATCGAACTAGAAAAAAAACATTTTTCCATCATACGAAATTAATTTTTAACAAGTATGATATTAAGGAACAATTATTCTTTCTTTTAACTTATTTCTATTGTGCAATTTTCACGTTTACACATACAATTAATTGCATAATATATATTACATATATATATTATAT